AGGAGCCCTCATGGACTGGTGCTGCTCAGCTCCTGAGATACATCAGTCTGAAATCATAGAACCCCAGAGTGGTTTGCATTGGAAGGGACCTCAAAGCTCATCCAGTTCCAACCCCTGCCACGGGCAGGGACACCTTCCACTGGAGCAGCTTGCTCCAAGCCCCTGTGTCCAACCTGGCCTTGAACACTGCCAGGGATGGGGCAGCCACAGCTTCTCTGGGCACCCTGTGCCAGCGCCTCAGCACCCTCACAGGGAAGAATCGCTCTTTATAGGCTATTACCTAACAGAAAGATATTCCTTTCAAGTGTTTGTGTCTCCTGCTGTTGGCCCAAGCTGTGGATGACCAACTGTGAGCCTTTTCTTTGTGAACAGAAAGCTGCTGGGGTTACAAACATGGTTGTTCCTCCTTGGAAGAGTAAGTTGTGGAGGAGAACCACTCAAATCTGGTTGCATCTCTGTTGTCCTCCTTCTCCAGTCTAGGTTTTGGTTGCTGGAGTGTGCTTTTGCTGTGGCTGAGGGGCAGTGGGATAGAGCTAAGGTTCTGTTCCTGAGTGAACCCCACTGTTCTGAAGAGCAGTGAGCACAGTTATGGAGCTCCGGAGGGACCTGCGGGCTGGGAGCAGTCCTATCCTGTCAGGTTTACTGCTTCTGTGGGTGTCTCTTTATGGCCTAGACTCATAGTTCAAAGGTTGCTGGAGGCATCCCTGGAGAGGAGCCAGGGATGTGGACCTGGCAGCTCTGGAGCGTGGTGGCTGAAGTATTTGCAGGAATGCTGTTTCATAACCTCTGGGTTTCATGAGATGTACTGAGGCAGGTTCCCTGGTTTGGTACCATGTTATAGGGATTTAAGGTTGAGGAGCTCTTTGAAGCACCAATACATCATGTTCTGCCATGACAAGGTGGGAATAAGTGGCAGTGTGACTTCTCTTCCCCAAGGAAAACACTCTTTTGCACACATCACAAGCCGTGGCTCTGCTGCTGTTTGAAGAGACCAGACAGATCTCTGAGCCAGGTGCTCTGTGGGACATCAAAGTCTGCCTGTCTGAAGCCAAGATGCTGAGGAACTCCAGCTCAGTGTCCTTCATGTCTAAACAGCAAAAGGAAGGAAGCCTTCTGAGCCAGGAGCTGTTTGGAGGATCAAAGCTACGCTTAACAGAGGCCAAGGAGGCGAAAGGCAGGATGAGAGCAGGAAGGCTGCAGCCCCTGTGGGATGATTTGAGCCATCTAATAACAGCAGTCAGGCCTCCAGAGCGGTCTGAAACCTTCTCCTCTGCTCCAGGACTCTGGCCCCAAGGAAGCAGGCGTTCAGGGAGCAGTGCCCGTGCTTGGCCAGAGGCGTTCTGCGGTGCCTGAGGGGCTGTTTAGTGACAGGGATGCTGCGCTGTCACATTTCACACTGTTTCTTCCATACGTTGCTACAAGTAACATCTAAAATAGCTCAGAAAGGCAAAAAACCACTCCCCAAAGTAGAGGTGGCAGATGATGATGAACTGGGAAAGGGAAGGAGTGGTGTTCTCTTTCAGCTTCCCTGACTGTGCGTTTGCTTCTGCATTTGCAGCCGTGGGAGCTTTTTGCTACTTTAAATGTCCTCAGGAAAAAACCTGCTGAATGAATGCTGCCTGCTGCTGGCTGCCTGTTCCCTTTGGTTTCAGATCGGGGAGGCTCTTATGCTCAAGAAGCAAGACTTGCTTTTTAATCTTGGTGGGAAATGCCTGGGTAGAGGAATGGGAATTAGGAGAATCGCTTCTAGATGATCACACTGGCAGTCTCTCAGATCTCTCTTCGTGCTTATTACTGTCCCAGGGCTTATTTAATTCCATAGGAAAAGTATAATAGAATCCCAGACTGGTTTGAGTTGAAGGGACCTTAAAGCTCACCCAGTTCCAGCCCCCTGCCATGGGCAGGGACACCTTCCACTAGAGCAGCTTGCTCCAAGCCCCTGTGTCCAACCTGGCCTTGAACACTGCCAGGGATGGGGCAGCCACAGCTTCTCTGGGCGCCCTGTGCCAGTGCCTCAGTACCCTCACAGGGAAGAGCTTCTGCCTAAGAGCTCATCTCAGTCTCCCCTCTGGCAGGTTAAAGCCATTCCCCTTGGCCTGTCCCTACAGGCCCTTGTCCAAAGCCCCTCTCCAGCTTTCCTGTAGTCTCTTTAGGCACTGGAAGACTGTTACATCCTCTAAGTACTTTAAAAGTACTAATGCAGTGAAACAAGCAAGTGTGGATAATGCCTTTCATTCCAGCATGCGAAGATATAACTGCAGATCTTGGTGGAAGGAGGCCTGCTGTTCCCTTGGTTATGACTGTGTTGTCTATGTTGGGAGTTGAGCAACTGAGCCCCAGTGTGGGGAATGACTTGTCTGGATTCACACTTGATATTCAGAGCAAACCAGGAGGGGTACTGAGGGAGCCTGCTTGGCAGTGGGTTATGTTCATCCCTAGACAGCTCCTTATTCCCCTCTAGAGGAGGGTTTAAGATTTCTTTGCTGGGACGTTATTCCAGGTTGTGGTCCCAGTGGCTGTTGTGGCAGCTCCTGAGTGGGTTTGTCCCATGTGGCAGGTCCCAGTGCCCCTCTGCCTTTTCAGCTGGGAGTTTGCCACATAACTGGAAGCATGGGGTGATCCCAGCTTACGTGCAGGGGAGGTCCTGAGTGGAGCATTCCACTGGGTGTCCTGTGCAACTAATCCCGTGCCATGCCACGTTAATCCTGGCCGCAGAGCTGGAGCCACACGTTTGCTGCCCACATACCATGGGGCTCCCTGCTGTGACTTGTACCCGTGGGTTGTCACCTCGAGTCAGAGCTGTCACCACTGCCCGGTGCACTGTGGAGGGGTAAGGAAATGCATTTTCATCAGCTTCCCGATTCACTGTTCCTCGCAGACGGATGGGGCTGCTCTAGCAGCCCTCGGCTTGTTGGGGCTGCAGCAGCAGGTGCCCTTGGCTCAAGAGGGATGGCAATCCAAATGGGAAGCCTCTGGGCTGAGCTGCAGGGACAGGCTGAGATACAGACCTAGGGGATGGATGCTCGTACTGTGGTGTGGGTGCTGCTGTGGGGGTTGTAGGGCTGGTACAGCAGTGTTGCAAGACTGAGCCTGCATTTTGCTTTGGGTTTTTTAACCTCTTAATTGAACCCCTTTATAGGGAAGCTGGCACCCGACAGGGGAAGGAGGTTGTTACTTGATGTGAGAGCCATGAGTGCATAGCAGGAACTTGGACAATACAAAAAGCTGTTTCCAGAGAGGCTGGGAATGTGCCAATTAAATCTTTGGCTCTCTCTGAGCCTAGCAGCAGTGGGATGTGAGGGTGCTCTATGACCTGACTGGTGCAGTGCATGTTTTGTTTCCTGCTAGGTTTTCTATGCTTGGGAAAGCAGAGGGGGTAAAATAACGCCATGCTGGGTGCTGGCAGACTCTCAGGTTAGTCACAGCCAAAGCATCACCTTGTAAATAGAGGCTAATGGAAATGCTGGATACATGTGTGGGGAAAACTGTCCCTTGGTTGTATGTGCTGTGCATGGGAAACTGCAGCAAGGAGCAGCGGACAGGTGGAGAGCAGCTGCAGGAGGAGAGAGGTGTTTCCAGCCGGGGTTTGGGGTGATGGGAAGCATGAGGAAGGGGAAAGCCAGTTCACATGGCTGAGGTCAGGCAGCATGGCAGCCTTCAGGAAGATGCTTCCCTGAAGATCCCTGTACATCCCTTATTTCATCCTTTAGGACTAGGCAAGTCCTAAATTGGTGCAAATCAGCCTGGTATGCTGATTATGCTGGTATGCTCTGGTATGGACCCAGAGGTGCTCGCTAGCCCCCGGGCTCTGCAGTGAGGGTGTCCTGTGTGTGCAGGTGGCTGTGGAGCCGCTGCCAGAAATACAGCTTGATGTGGTTTTATGATAAATAGAGTACTGTGATCTCTGAGCCATGCTGTGCTTTTGTGTGCGCCATCCGGAGCTCAGCAGAAGATCCCCATGTGGATCCAGGGCTCTCCAGCATGGACATGCTGGCTGCAGCTCCTGGAATCAGGCATCTTGCTGTGTCCTGGTGAAGAGTGGTCCCTTCTGCCATCACTGCTAATGAGTGGGGGAGACGGTGAAGGCAGCCTGGCTCTGACTTGAAACCATCCAAGTATAGAGCTGAGCTCTTGCTCTCTGGAGAGCAGTGTTTTCTGTGGATGCTGTTCCAGAAGGGATTAATTAAGTAAATTAATAGACTAAATGATGGTTTCTGTTAAGTTGTGTGAGGCTGTTTGTGTAGACAGTAAGGTCAGAGGTGCTGTGATCAGATGAGCTTTAAGGTCCCTTCCAACCCAAACTAGTCTGTGATTCTACAATCCTTGCTGTGTGGGTTCTCTGTAGGCAGCCAAGTACGGGAAGGTGTTCCCACAACTCTTCCCTTGTGTAGGAGTGTTTTTAACACACCAGAGCAGAGTCCTAGTAGGAGTAATGATGAGGAGCAAGCAAGAAGAATAAATGTTTTTTAAAAGCCATTTCCTAAGCGGTATCACCAGCCTGCTCTGTATTGCAGCTGCGCCCTCTCCATGTCGTAGTGTGAGGTGTTTGCAAACAAGTGGTGCTCCCTGGCCTGTCATTCACCCATGAGAGTGGGGCTTTGTGCCTGTATGGCATGGGCAGGGGTTGGGGTCTCTTGGTGCAGTGGGTTCCTCTCTGGAGCTGGGATGCCCACTGGAGGCACGGTGTGCTTTCCCCACGGCAGGACCCTGTGCTGCTGAGAGCATCCCGAGCGCAGCAGGAGCACATACACCATCAGACCTCAAAGGAAGCTGCACAGAGCCTGCGCCAGTCCAGAGCAGTGGGACTGTACTCAGAGAAGTGTGTTCCTGCTGGTTTGTCCTGGGAGAACTGAGGACAAACAAACTGGGGCTCCACTGGGGGCATTGCACAGATCCCTGGAGGAAGAAGCTCTTTGGTATGTTTAGTTTTCCTGTTCAGGGCTCTTCTCCTGCTCTGCATAATGTCATAGAATCACAGAGTGGTTTGGGTTGGAAGGGACCCTAAAGCTCATCCAGCTCCAACCCCCTGCCACGGGCAGGGACACCTTCCACTAGAGCAGCTTGCTCCAAGCCCCTGTGTCCAACCTGGCCTTGAACACTGCCAGGGATGGGGCAGCCACAGCTTCTCTGGGCAGTAACCATCCCCAGGGAAACATGTAGGGAAGGACAGGACTTTGAGCGTGGTGAGGCACTGACATGGTTGCCCAGAGAATGTGAGAAGTTGTCTTGTTATGTTTCCAGTTTCCAGAGGAAATCCAAGAAATCCTGTGTTTCGTACCAGAAGCCACACTGACCTGTCAGTGCAATGACCACGTACTGCCAGGGCAGGGAGAGATGAAGCAGGTCTTCTGGATTGAGACCTGCTAAGCAGGCACGTGGTCATCTGGGCCTGTGTCCACCAAACCATGGGTATTTCCAGGGTTTTCTTAGCTCTATTTGTAATCACCAGGAGCCTTTGTGTCTCTGTGCCTCTGGGAAGAAGGGAGATGACTGTATTTGCAGATTGATCCTGCTCCTCTGTTTGAAAGCAGTTGTGCAGACCTGCAGAAGGGCAGTGTCCTGTGTGCCTCCTGGTAATCTTCTGTTTGTCCACAGCTGATTCTTCTCTTACACACAGCGTGAAGTTCAGATTCAAACCTCCTCTTTGCCTGTCAGTGTAGCTGCAGTCGTGGGATGAGGAGAGGGGGGGACTGCTGGCCACGGGATGTTCCCCAGGTGTCTGACTGACACAGGTCTGTGTGCACTTCAGCAAGTCGGCAACAGTGGGTGCTCATTCCAGACCTGGGCACCCTGTTGCTCAGAGGAAGAAGATTTCAGGTCAGCTAAATTCCCTCCCCTTTCTCTGCCGGGCTGCACAGCACTTAGCACATCATGCTGCTCTTGGCCATAGGTGCCAGTGTCATTGAGATGACATCGTGTTTGAACGGGGATGTTGTCTCGCCACTGATTGCAGGATCTGTCCTGAGTGCCCCTCTTCAATCAGACATCCCAATTTCCACGTCTATCTTTAGCATAGTTTCCTTAACTGTTATTGCCCATCAAACTTTGGCTTCAGCTTGAGAGGCTGTGAGTGTTTGGAGGTCTCTGTGCCATGGGTTCAGCTGAAGGCTGCTTGGGTTGTGTTCCTTGATGTCTTTCAGCCTTTGATTGTTCTCCACTGTTGCCCTAAGCTCACAGAGGGGAGCTCTGTGAATGATTTGTGCTTGTACAAACAGCAGCAAGGTGCTGTGGTGCTTCATCACTGCTGGCCGTCCTGATGAAGGGTGACTGCACAGATACTCAGCCTCAACTCATTTGCAGACAATTCCTATACTGCTCCCTTGATCCTTAGATGAGAGCAAGGATTAGCTTACTGTTACTGGTTCCAGTTGGCTGTAAAGCCAGAGCAGGGGGGCTCTCTGGGATAACTGTGTGCTCTCCTGGGACAGCAGATCAGAATCCAGATGAGGCTTCAGATGGATCTATTGGAGTGGCACAGTACCCACAGCGTGGGCTTTGAGTGAGGACGTGGAAGAGTGGCATGTTCCCAGTACCAAGAGGCATTAATGAAACATGTTCCTCGTATTGACTTGTTCTGAACTGTCACCTATGGCTACAGCAGCTACCTTCACAGGGCTGTGCAGCATGTACTGATGTGCATCTAGTAAAATCAGTTCAGCCTGGAGAAGGGGAGGCTTTGAGGGGACCTTAGAACAGCTCTAGTGTCTAAAGGGGCTACAGGAAACCTGGAGAGGGGCTTTGGACAAGGGCCTGTAGGGACAGGCCAAGGGGAATGGCTTTAGCCTGCCAGAGGGGAGACTGAGATGAGCTCTTAGGCAGAAGCTTTTCCCTGTGAGGGTGCTGAGGCGCTGGCACAGGGTGCCCAGAGAAGCTGTGGCTGCCCCATCCCTGGCAGTGTTCAAGGCCAGGTTGGACACAGGGGCTTGGAGCTCTAGTGGAAGGTGTCCCTGCCCATGGCAGGGGTTGGAACTGGATGAACTTTAAGGTCCCTTCCAACCCAAACCAGTCTGGGATTCTGTGATTATTGAGGAAAAATCCCACTCTGTACAAAGGGAATTTGTGGATCTCCCATAGCAGTTCTGGTGCTGCAGCTCTATGTGAGTGCTGCTGGATCCCAAAAACATGACTTTAAATCAGAACAAATGCTCCCCATGCAGGTGTGGTCATGGTTACCCTCATTTCTGCTTTACAGACTGAAGGGTCTCTTCTAAAAATCCTTTGCACTCACTAACAGTTGGGCTGCAAATCCTTTTGTGCCCTGTGCGTGCATCTGCCTCGTAGCGAGATGTCAGCCCGCGCAGGCTTCTCCCCAGGAGCTTCAAACCCCCGTGTTTCACATGTTGGCTTCTCCTGCCTACCTGGGACCTAAGCAAGCTGCTAATTGTTGTGCAGATGTCATCTTCCAGGCAGGCATGAGGTTGTAGGCTTTAAAAAAGCTGAACTGTCATTTGCTACCAGCCTTCTCAGTACACGTGAGCTCTATTTTTACGGGATTGTGCGTTTTCTTTCAGCCACTGCTTTGCTGAATTCCTTTTTCTTCTTTTTTCTTTTCATTTCCAGGCTTGCAGGTAAAGTTTTAGGGATGCATCTATTTTTCATCATCCTACTTTTGCTACTTGTTTTATAACTGAAAAGAAACTAAACCCAAAAAACTCTCCTGTGTTTAAGTAGCAGTTTGCTCTTAGGTGAGTTGAGGGGGAGCTGTGTGTCGTGATCAGTCTGAGATTGGGCTCCTGACTGTGCCATTGGCCAGAAGGGCACGTAGATCTTGTGGGAGCTGATGGAGTTTGAGCCCCTGAATTCTGTTGTGGAATTTCCAGCTCAGGAGCTTGGGTGTTGGTTGTAGCCTGGTTGTGCTTGGTAGTGCCCCAGGAAAGATGGAGGCTTCAGCTGCAGGGTTTCTTTGCTGTCTTCTGGAAGTAGTCCAGAGGAGGCCATGGAGATGCTGCGAGGGCTGGAACAGCTCTGCTCTGGAGCCAGGCTGAGAGAGCTGGGCTGGGTCAGCCTGGACAAGAGAAGGCTCCTGAAGGGGAGACCTCAGAGCAGCTCCAGTGCCTGAAGGGGCTCCAAGAAACCTGGAGAGGGGCTTGGGACAAGGGCCTGTAGGGACAGGCCAAGGGGAATGGCTTTAACCTGCCAGAGGGGGGACTGAGATGAGCTCTTAGGCAGAAGCTCTTCCCTGTGAGGGTGCTGAGGCGCTGGCACAGGGTGCCCAGAGAAGCTGTGGCTGCCCCATCCCTGGCAGTGTTCAAGGCCAGGTTGGACACGGGCTTGGAGCAAGCTGCTCTAGTGGAAGGTGTCAGTGCCTGTGGCAGGGGTTGGAACTGGATGAGCTTTAAGGTCTCTTCCAATCCAAACCATTCTATGATTCTTTGATAGAGAGCGCCAGGTCAGAAATGCAGGGTGGCACTTTCATGCAGTGTGAATTAAGGAGGGGATTTCATTGCTGATTATTCCGTAGGTGTCAGATGCTTCAAAAGCAATTATTGGGAATACCAAAATTCTCCTTGATCTGGATTGAGCTCAAAGACAGAGGCTGCTGTTCAGGAAGACCCTGGGTTGGGAGGTTTTGGAAGATGCAGAAGTGCATCAGATGTGTTGCTATTTGTGCTCCCTGTTCTGCTTTGCTTTTGGGTAAAGCAAAACCAAGCAGAAAGACAAAGAAGTGACAGAGTGGGGAGACAGATAGCAGTAAAGGGATGGAGGGAGAGGACTCCAGTCCCTGTGTGTCCTTGAAGTCTTTTGTGGGCAGAGGTCCTTTGGTGGCAGGAGCTGGTGTTTGGTGCACGCGTGAGCAAGCTTTCTGTGGAATAGAAGATGATTGCTTCAAGAAAGGAAAAAATCTGTGATATGATCCTGATGGACAACAAAGACAGAAAGAAGGATATTTAGGACTGCATGGGAGGAAATTCTTTAAAACCTGGTTAGGAGTAGGAGCAGACTTGATGGAGGGATGAGTAATGAAGGAGTGTTTGAACGGAACTAATCAGTCCCATCTTCTTTCAAAAGACCTCATTTAGTTTAATTTAGCAGCTTGTAAATTTAGAGCCAATCAAAGGAAATACTTGTCGAGGCTGTGTGCTGGCAGGCTGCTCCACTGCCTAGCCCAGCGTGAGGAGCAGCGAGCTGCAGGCTGGAGGTGGATTGAAAGCCCCGTGTTGTGAGGCAGTGGGGGCACGTGTGAGCGTGGTTACACACAGAGCTGTGCGAATACGAGCACCATGCCAGGAGCAAGACAAGAGCAGGACGCCGCTTTGTTTCCTCATCTCTTGTTCAGTAGGTGCTGTGTGGTCGGTTGAGGGGGCTGTGTGCCATGGGATTGCTTTGTGGTCCATGCAAGCACAGCCGGAGGTGGCTCCCGAGCTCACAGTTTGGGTGAACCAGTGCTCTGAGCAGTAGAGGAAGGTAGGAACGATCCAGTAGACCTTGTTGACTGCTGCTTGAAATGTTGTTTTCCTAAGGAGAAACCTGCATGTGGGTTTATCACAGGCTCACAGAATGGTTTGTGTTGCAAGTGACCTTAAAGCTCATCCAGTTCCAACCCCTGCCACAGGCAGGGACGCCTTCCACTAAGCCCTTGTGTCCAACCTGGCCTTGAACACTGCCAGGGATGGGGCAGCCACAGCTTCTCTGGGCACCCTGTGCCAGCGCCTCAGCACCCTCACAGGGAAGAGCTTCTGCCTAAGAGCTCATCTCAGTCTCCCCTCTGGCAGGTTAAAGCCATTCCCCTTGGCCTGTCCCTACAGGCCCTTGTCCAAAGCCCCTCTCCAGGTTTCCTGGAGCCCCTTCAGGCACTGGAGCTGCTCTGAGGTCTCCCCTTCAGGAGCCTTCTCTTCTCCAGGCTGACCCAGCCCAGCTCTCTCAGCCTGGCTCCAGAGCAGAGCTGCTCCACCCCTCGCAGCATCTCCATGGCCTCCTCTGGACTCACTCAAGTTTAGATAAACCCCTGACCTCTAGGGCTGGTAGCTGTATTTAATTTGAATTAACGCAGCTACTTCTGGTCTCAAAATGAAGCACGGGCAGAAAAAGCCTTTGTGGGATTGCACTGATTTTTATTTTCCCCTGTAGTTGTTATCCAGGGCACTAACACAGTGATTTTAATCCACACTTGCA